TGGAATCCATTAATGCCATCATGCATCACTTGGGCCAATAAACTGCTAGAATCCAGTGACGAAGAGCAATAGGCTCTATAGACCTTAGCTCTCCTTCCATGTGTGCTACGTGGTATGTTAAACTTTCCACGTGGTATAATCCGTATAAGGTCCGTTAATAGTTTGTATTCCATGGTCCGGCAGTCCGAAATTTATACACAAGACGTGGTCCGAAACCAGTATACTGTATCCGTAAATTTACTCCGTATATTTGGTCCGGCAGTCCGGTCCGGTCCGAACTTTATACCCATCCCCTCCTCTGGTCGGTCGTTACTAAAATGCGGAACGTGCGGAACGCTACGAAGAATGCGGAACGAGTGATACGGAAAGTACACAGACGTAAACGGAGTCGACGCGTATAGTTCCGCAGGGTGTCTAGAATGCGGAACCATATAAACCATAGAATGCGGAACAGTATACGTTGGAAACTTGGCATCAAAAGCTAAAGGCGGTATGTAGCCTACAAGACAATAGGGAATAATAATTGGTATAGAGCTGATTAATAATCAAAATATTCTTATTAATTATTATACAAAATCAAAATGGTAACAATATTAAATCAAATTGGCATAGAACTTTAATAATCGAAAATTGACATGCTATCATGCAATTAAATTAAACCTAATTCGTCTTTATATAACATTGTAGCATCATCTTTAGAAATTTTTTTATCCATGGAAATGTATGTTATCATTGCCTATCAAAAAATGTCAACACTTCAAAAGTGATATTAGCAGGCTTACCTCTGGCCATAGCAAATGTACCGCAATTGCCTTTCTTAAATTACCATGAGGGCAATGTAGCGCTGTCAATTCCTCCAAATACATGAATATCTGCTGTGACTTCAGTTGAAGTGCGGATTTAGAAAAATAATAAGTAACTGAATGATAGTAAACTTACAATGACATCATCAGACAATGGCCATATAGTGTCAGGCATGTGCTTTGTCTTGTGTAGGATATTTGAATGATAAAAGCTACTACATCGAGGGCTTTTAATTATTTCAATGAAGATACCCTACATTTTACAAACATTCTTATTGCATCAAAGTCTAAAACCTAACCTCATTAGATTTCAAAGCTTGGAAATAGTTTATAACCAGTAAAGAGCCAATTCTGCATTTGGACTATAATCAAAAATCAATTTATTCACTTTTATTACCTAATAGGGGGGTGTGATACTTTAAAAAAATTAGTAGCTACATCGATGTAACTTTTCTCTCTAGACACAATAGAGAAATCATCATTATCTTCAGCTTCTTCTCCTGGGAAAGTTGGGGCAATGATTGCTAATTCACTGTAGTCTGTAAGTGAGATAACAGTAAAGTTGTAATGCATATCTCTTTCACCTTCTTCATCTGCACTTGTTAAATCTGAATTACACACATCATCATCAACATAACTTCCTGTTATGATTAATATATTACAACAATAATTATATGTAATAATATGTACTCACCATTTTCCTTAAATTCTTTCACATGAAAACTTTTAATCTACAATGTAAATACATGTGCATGCGTATTGATGTGCAACACAACATTGTATGGACCTTTTCCTCATTTAAAATAACTGCAAGTTCATTTGTCATTGTAATCCAATTTATGTTTGGAATCTTCCATTGGTACTGGCTTATAGTATCACTAAAATGGAATGATATTTAGCACTTTTCACTTGCAAACAAACCAATTTATTAATTCTTTTACTAGCCATGTTCTGAGATACATCGAGTCATTCTGTTGTAAAAAACAGAGTTTAAGCATTTATATGTACAGTTCAATTGCTTACATCAAATACTAAATCTTTACTGTGGATTATAGCCTCAGAATACTAAAAAATACATGTACTTGGTGGTAAGAAAAAATAAAAATTGCTGCAAGTTTTACCTTGCATACAAAGACACCACAGTCAACCATGTTACATTGTAGAGTTCGATTCTGTGACAGGAAAAATTGTGCATGCATTACATTCATAAACTAAAGACAAACTTCATTTGAGAACCTTTTCCACATACTAATATTTCTCTTCTTGCCATAACACGTCATATATGTTTCTTCAATGGCTTTACTGAAATAACACTAACTATAGTCATGCTCCAAGTATTATATAGTATACCATATATTATCTAATATTTGATTGTGTTCTTTATATTCCAATGGGTCAAGGCACTTGACAAGTCTTTTTCCAAGGTCAATTACCTTGAAGTAATTACAGTATATTGAAGCAATTGGTCACCGTTATACTTACTATAAGTATCCAATGTGATCCTTTCATATTGACTGGACATATCAATCTTCTTGTTTGTTGTAGCTCACACTGTTTGTGATGGCAGTTCATGCAATATGTACATTAATGGCTACAATTGTGTACCTTGATAAATTTGGCACCTTTTCCATCCAAAACAGCTTCGTAAAAAAAAGTTTGCAAACAATATGTTCTTGTCCTTGATATACATGTATTTAAGGATATCTCTTGACTATTATTCAGAACTGTCATATAAAAGTTGATAATCTAAAAAAATTGTGCTTCAAGTCATATGTACATGTACATTAAGCATGAAGATGACAGACCTTGTCATTTAACCATTTATTATCGTATATAATGTCTACATCCTTTTTAGACAGACCAATTTTTCCTTTATTGATGTCTAATTCTATAAAATTATCATTTTCTGAAGAAAAACAAAGTACACTGTACAATAACCATTTTGATGACATTCATGTGCTAACCGGATAAAGTGACATATTTGTGAAAGACATTTTTGAATTCCATGCACATATTTTGAAGAGTATTCTGCTTCCTAACTTTCATAGACA